GCAATGTCCTCCGCCGCTAAAGAATGGAATATCTATATTTACTACTTTTTATTTTTTGGTCACATACAAGATGCCTGAAATGACTGGTGTCTGCATAATCACCTAATGTAGACTGTTGACATTCTTGAAAACATTGGGGTGCAATGTTTTATGAGATTAATCGCGTTTAAATAAGTTTGACAAGCAGTCAAAGTGCCGTGGTGATCTTGAAGATAAGGTCAAGGTCACCCAAATAAACTGGTGTCTGTGCAATACCCCAATGTAGGCTGTCACCAAATGTGAAGACATTGGGTACAACAGTTCATGATATATCGCGTTAACAAGAATCAGGACGTGAGTACGTTTACACATACGCCGCTGAATACATAGTCCCCCGTTCCGGCGGGGGACAATTATCAAAGATTGGCCACAGTGACCAAACAACCAAGCAATCGATCACATTTTCTCATGATCAAACATAAACGATTTTGGAACTACTGTTTTAGTCTTTGAATACTTGACAATGGAACATATCTTAGAAGTTGTCAGGGCCTGAAAACATGTTTAATTCTTACAAAACTCACTTTACTAACTGAAAAGCCATGACTGAATATTTCTTGAAGACTCCTGGAAGTTTATGTTCATGATATATTAGTCATCACTTTTAAGTAGCAAGTTCAACATGTTATACATATCTGCAATAACAACCTGGATAGGAAAATCTGAAAAATGATGCTAACCAATTTTTTTCGATGACTGTTCGTTGGTAATTAAGCAATCATCAATTGTGAGATTTCAACCAATTCCAAACACTAGACTAGTGGTGGTCCAACTAATTGAAATAATCAAAGATTGGTCGCAACGACTAAATAACAAAGCAGTCAATAATCGAACACAAACAATTTTGGAACACATGTTTGCATTAACAATATTTTTCACAAGGTTGGTTTTGTCTGTCATTAAATTTACATTTCATCATGTTCATAAGCACTATGAGTTCGTACCAAGTCATGATTGAATTTATCTTAAAGACTTCAGGAAATTTATGTTCCTAACATACTAGTCATCCTTTAATTTTAAACATGTTAAATTTGCCAATGCATTTAGTGCAATTTGCAAAAAAAATACGAAAGAACTACAGCTTTTGTCTTTATTTTTTGTGCATTAACAAACATAACCAGGAAAATTTGATAAATGACGCTAACCAATTATTTTCAATGATTGATCGGTTGTAATGAACCAATCATCAATTATGAGATTTTAACCAATTCCCAACACTAGTACGGACCCTTGAACTTAGCAAGAGGTTCCTGTGGAACCCTAATTTTGTTGGTCAAGGTAAAACCTTGATCACATGAAATATATACTACTAATATTTCATCTAAAATTTGCCATATTCTATCAGCTGCAGCATCTGCTGTACTGCACTGGTGGAGTTAAATATTCAATATTCAGCAACAATATGTGCTACGTTGGTTGCAGACTATTTCAACTGAGAAGCAATAACACAAAATCATGTGCAGAGGACCAGATAAGCTGTGTATCCCGGTAAAATATGCATGGAAAATTTCCAATTATGCATTGAAAAATAATTGTTCGTACCAATTACGCATTGAAAATGTTAGATACGCAAAAAGTTTAAAACAAATGCGTACGGTATATATTTATAAAAATCGCTTGCGTAAATGAAAAAGACATCGATTGCTATCAAGTTGTACTGTTAGTATAGGATGAGTGATTTTTTATGAAATCATTTCCATTATATTTAACTTGGTTTTGATTAGGTATGACATAAGGCAGAACATACCTGCTTAGTAAACTTACTCAATGACATAATACTTAGGTGAGTAATATGACTGAAATACGCACATATTTGAAAGCAGTGGGTAACGGAAAATGAAATACCCACTCAACATTCATAATACCCACTCTTAAAAAATACAGTGGGTACAGTACCCACATGAGCTAAATCTTATCTGGAGCTCTGCATGTGTGTATGATTAGTGCTGCGTATTGGCAAATAAATTGTATTGCAATATTTTGCAATTCATGTACCTGTACTGCAATACATATTGCAATATATTGGAACTTAAGTGTTTGACAATGAATGCATGTCAGTCCTATTTTCTACATCATAAGTCCCTAAACATATATGTTATGGTTCTGACAACAGCAATCTCAAAATTAGGTTGCATAGTCAAGAATTCTATTTTCGTTTTTATCCAATTTATAGCATCGCAGCAGTATGCAGTTTTGTCATTGATTAACAAAGGAAAACATTTGTTCTGAATGAAAGTATGTGTACATTTTAAGTTAAACCATAAACATAATCACAAAAACTTCATATGTTCTTTACCCAATATATCGGTTCTCACAAAAGTATTGCAATACAGATCGTTTGAAAAGCGTATTGCAATACATTGGTATACCGGTAACACGAAGCAGTCTTAGTTCTGATATTAATAATAATAGTGCACACAAAATTATACGAAAGTAATATGTTAAAAACCTTTAACTTGTATTGATAATGGAACCTATGTTCACTGCTTCAACTAGCGCTTGGTATCTGAATATATATAATTTGGACAAAAACAAACAATTCCTTATAAATTGAAAATGAGCCCCAGTGATGAGAAAAATTCCTGAACCTGAGTACTTGCTTCATTTAGGGCTTTAGCACTGCAAAGAGGGAAGGAAAATAATGCAGTTCAGGGGCTGTGAGACAGACTATCAACTGCTATGTAAAACATCTGTCGACACTCCAGCAGGTTCAGATAGTACATGCTTTATGCAGTGTAGGAAAGATAGCCCTTCCCGACGTCCGAGACGGATGAATTTTGTGGAGGACGGGTTAAAAAAATATCTAGTCTCTCCTCATGTCGGGTCAATTTTAGCAAACCAATGACATATATATAATGATTATAACCTTTTTGAATATTTACTGCCGAAGGTGTTTTATTTATATTTGGAGGACAGGCTAGATTTTGGCAGGACTGGTAAAACATTTGACCTGCCAGTCCTGTGGACAGGCTAGATTTTCGACATCTTTCCTACACTGCTTTATGGACAATTCAGAGTTAGTTAAACCAAGTCACTGCAGTACCGTCTACTCACGATGTACCCCAGAAATTGATGTTTCTATATACAAAAACAAATACAGTTAAGAAATAAATCACAAATGTCAGGTAAAGAGGTGCCGGTAGTTTTTTTCTGTGTATAACAGTGACGTCCACCAATAACTTCCCACCATAAGTTTTGTAAGCATTAATTTACAACAAAAACATGTCAGTTTACTTCTTCGATGTAGATACTTTTGTAGATATACTGCTTCTCATTCTTCGATCCTCCAACACAAGCCATACCAGTCAAAATTGTTGTCCATAAAGCAAATACTGATTCCACAAAGAAAAAAGCAGACCATTTTTCAATAATTTAAACTTAAGTTTTCTGTTCTTCAATCATTGTGTCAATGCTGAACATCTACATAGTATCCCTTCAGAGTCTTGAGGTAAATGGACAGGTGACAACAAAATCATTCCATAAAATGTAATATCACCAGACATAATGATTTACATTTTCATTTATTTTCTGTTCTGCTAGACATTTTTATAGTTAACTTAAAAAGATTGATCTGTGTATGTTCTTGTAAACTAAGCAAGAATCTAGCAATCAGCTGTATACACACTTTCCACATATCTACTTTGGAATTGGAATAGTTGATTGTTATTGATGGATAATTACTATTCATGGAACAGCTTGACCTGCAACTGTTGAGGCCTCAGGCATTCCTGCTTCAGCAAATAAACGAAAACAAAATGCAAATATCATACCTAACTACAACCAAAAGAAAATACTATCAAGCAGTTACCTTGTTCGAGGAATACATCCATCAAAAAACACTCGAAGGAATAATCTCCGATACATCTCAAGCTGTCCAAAGAATCTTGTTTGATTTCACTTGTCTTTGTAACGTACTAATATTTAAAAATATATACAACATCCGAAATATTATAAGCTGTGTATGTCTCTCAACTGATCGCGTAGGTTTGTTTTGGGTGGGTCACATCAGTGTCATGTCTCAATGGTCAGCTGAGATTGCACAGGTGACATCTAAGTCTATGACATCTTTGGTTCCTTAAACATGTTAAAACAACCCCATTGGTTTAAAAACAATGTTACTGGCTTATCTTTTGAACAAAGTAAACTGTTACACAGGTAGATATGACAGCATCGAATCTTCTAAAAATACAAATATAACAATTTTGACATATCAACTGTCCAAGATAACAGTAATTGATCAATTAACGTATTATTGGGTAATTCTTTGATGTAATTAAGTAACTCAAAATCATCATTCCTCTCTTGCAGCGCTGACACGTGCATATTACATGACATGTAATACATTCACCACATCAAGCCCTTTCATAACCCAATCATAGATCGAATAATTACACTGGACTCGACAAATGTGAAACACAGATCACTTTATATCCACATAGTTATTTATCTTTGCCAGGTAATCTGAATGTTGCTGTCACTAATTAATAAAGGATTTAACTGAGCACCAATTGAAGGGCAAGACAATGAAACATGGATCATCTGACAAAAGAAGGGTAGTATTTGGGGGAGGATTTCCACCAGTAGCCCATCACTCTATGATTAGAATATGTTTTTTAATAGAAAGCCTACCCTAACCCTAACATAATGCTCAAACCCTATACCTAAACCCTAACCCCTAGTAACAGTCCTACAAAATAGAATATATCTCAAGCGGGGGTTACGGGCGGAACTCTTACCGAAATCGTATAGTGTGAGCATAAACGTTTTTACTCCAGTTTTCTTCAGAGATAGTTCATGTAAAGCATGCGCAGAAATCGAGGATCTGTCACACATCTAAACGTTCGTTTGAAACAGCTCCCCTTGTGTACCTTACAAGACAAAAGACACGGGCCAAAGACACCTCTGACTTTATCAAGTGATCATATAAATGTTGTAAATAGAAAGAGATGAATGACACAAACCTTTGACAATTTACTTTCTGAGAAAATGATTTCACAACACGTTTCTTTGTCCAAGGGAAGCAACTTCTACAACATCCGGTGTTTTGTTAGCTCCTTATAGCGATGTATTTGCAAAGGCATGTTAAGAGCTTGTGGTCGCAGCCCCGTGTCCGTCCAACGTTGAACAATGTCGATATCTGTAAAGTCTAAACAAGATAACCGTGATGCAAAGAGCCAATGTACAGAGAACAGGCATTTATATAGTAATGTGTGGAATATCGGATTACATGAATGTTCAGTTATAAAATCATAAATCATAATTGATATTGTTACCCAGAGAAATACAGAAAGTTGGACATACGGTAATCACTCCCCTCAGTTGAAAATGTCTTCCAGAGAATCGCAAAAACGTTAGAATTCCATGCAAAGATTCGTAACAGCATTTAATTGTGTATCATGCTGCCTAAAAGCGTAAAACGAAAATACATTTTACCGGGAGACAGGTCAAACCGAACAAGAGTAATACAACTTCATTAAACCAGTATGTAGTAAGTGTGATGCATAATACGATGGCCCAGAAAGAAAATGGGAAAACGAAACCTAGCGCCATTGCGTATTTTAAGCTATTTTCATATTTGTAACAACCCGAAAGATTCCTGAAGAGGCGTCCTTTATTTGAATTACCGGCTGAGCTTCACCGGTGAAGTTGTCATAATAAGAGACAGCGTGAGACAGGCTGCCGTTCTCTGTTGAAACCCGCGAAGATCCGGGTTTAAATTGATCTTCAATTACCCATGCTTGTCGTAAGGGGGCAACTGATGGGATCGGGTGGGTGGTCAGGCTCGCTAACTTGGTTGACACATGTATCCAAATTGTGTAGATCGATGCTCATGCTGTTGATCACTGGATTGTCTGGTTCAGAGTCGATTGTTTACAGACCGCCGCCATATGGCTGGAATATTGCTGAATGCGGCGTAAAACTAACCTCACTCTTTGTTTGAAGCTTCCCAGGCTCCTAGTTAAACCTATTATCATGCACTAGATTTCTTTTATTTTTTTAATGTTTATTGTACTAGCCCAGTCATGTCTGTCTGATATTGCTGGACGGTTGCCTTTTCCTCTTCAGTTTCTTTATATGTAGTGTGAAAGATGTGAGAACTTACTAGAGCCCCAGTGTCAAACAATATTCTTCTATTTATCGTGGAGACTAACAGGATCGGGTGGTCAGGCTCGCTGACTTGGTTGACACATGTCATCGGTTCCCAATGGCGTAGATTGATGGTCATGCTGTTGATCACTGTATTCTGGTCTAGACTTGATTATTTACAGACCGCCGCCATATAGTTAGAATAATGCTGAGTGCGGCGTAAAACTAAACTCACTTACGCACTCATTCATTGCTGATGCACAACGGCACAGTAACCTGTATGAAACGTCGCACTCACGAAATAAAATGTTTTGTTATCTATAAAGGTTGCCAATAAAATCATTCTAGACTTGAGTAAGACTCCTATTTAATTTATTCTCGGGAGTCTGAGAGACAATTTCCTTGAGTCAGGACCAAGTATTAAACAGAAGTAATTTGTGAATCCGATTCCGCTCCATGATACCTTTTCATAATCCGAGCAGTAACTGTAGGGAATATAACCTTCCACGCTTGAATCCGACTTTTGTATCTGAGGCCATGTGAGATGTACAACATGTGCTCTTGAGTGAGGTGTGGGTGACACCTTGATGCCATGCAGCTGTATTTGATACCTGAACCTATGAATTAAACTTATGAAACCAGAACCAGCATTTACTATTTTTCATGGTCCCGCGAGCCGGATTGCTGAATATTTTGAACTTTGTGAACTTTGTGAAATATTGGGATTATGGCCAGTAAAGAGAGAGAGGCCACCAACCTATCTTGAGGACTATGTGTGTGAAACTTTGCCTATCCTTAACACTGAGGATGTAAATAAGGACAAGAGTGTTCATACTGAAAGATTGGAAGAGGATTTAGGAGCAGTGGGAGGACTCAGTCTAATGTCACAGAAGTCAACTAGAGTGTCAAAGAAAATCTCAGTCTTCACATCGGTCTGGAAGTTCAAATGTGAGTAAACACTCTTCAAACAGTCTTACCACTGTTATAAGCAGTCTATCAGGACAGCAAACTGCAAAGCTTGAAAAATTAAGAAAACGTGCTGAATTAGAGGAGTTGAAGACGTAGACAAAGTGAAGATAGACACTTAGATGTTTTGATAGCTAGAGTAGAAGATGAGGCTTCTGAGGCACAAAGAGGGCAGAGGAAGATATAATTCATGCTAGAATTCAGGCACAGATGCAAGAAAGGAAAGCTTTGAAGAAAGAGGCGTTTTCAGATGGAAATCTCCCGTAAGAGGCAGGTACGTCAAGCAGAGGGATGTTAGCAGAAGTAGAACTGGTTGATTAGTTGCTTGATCATAACTCTGCCATTGTGACACCTAAAACTGAGCTGTCGTTGTCTCACGAGTCTCTGCTGGACCCAAACGCAGCGGTGTTTTACATCCTTACTTCAGATAATGAATTGAGTAATGAGATCAATCCTCAACGTGGAACCCAGACTGGACTTGTTGACAATTACACTCATACACCTGGCGATTTGCCATCTAATTCCGGTTTACTTCCTCAAGTCCAGCATGTGACACGTTCCCCAAGGTTTGACTCAATACTCAGCAAAGCTTTTTTCCCACCAAGAGCCACAGCCTCCTAATCAACATTACATGACAGAACGATTAGTTTCCTCATCCTACGGAATCCCCAGCCTACACTTCCATCGTTTGTTAATGGTAAGGAGAGAGACTTTGCTACCCTCAAGATGGCTTTTGACAGTATTGTAGATAGCCACGTCCATTTGTCAGAGCAGTTTAAGTTTCAGGTGTTGCTGGATAGATTGGGTGGTTCTCAAGGCGCCTTGCCGAGGCTTTCTTGTATGACTTGAAGCCCTATACTAGTGCTATGCAAGCTCTAAAAAAGAAACGTATGGTCAGCCAAGACAGTTGGTCCAAAGTGAACTAGCCATGATCATGAACCTTCCTACTGTGAGATGCAATGACTTTGACACATTTGAAAATCTCGCTCTTTCTGTACATACACTTGTTGGAATGCTTCGTTCCCTTGTGGGTGACAACGGTTTTGAACTTAGATGTGGGTCGCATGTAGATCGTCTTTTAAGTAAACTGCCACAAACCAACCGGGATGGATTGATTGAATACTGCCTGAACAAAGGGTATTCTGAGTCTGGATAAGGACAGGACCTACAATCTTCTTCACTTCTCGGATTGGTTGAAGCTGAAAGCTCGGGCCAAGAAGATTGCTCATAAGGCAGCCAGTTTGTATCAAGCCTCAAAGCCTGTACGAGATACATCGACTCCAGTAATGAGGAGTTTACCACAGATGCCCACCTCAGTCTTCAATTCAAATACCTCCAAAGTTAGATCAACAGGCTAGCCATAACAGTGATGGAGGAAGAAGGAACCAACGAACAGGATATTGTGCTTACTGCAACAAACAGCATCACATTAGCACATGCTCGGACTTCCAGAAACTATCTGTGCGTGAAGTTGTCAACTGGATGAGAGAGATAGCGCAGGTGTTGGAACTGTGGACGTGCGCATACTGCTAAACAGTGTAACCTGAAGAAGTTGTGCATGAAATGTAACAAACTTCACCTCACCATACTACATGATGCAAACAATCACATCAAAGAGAGTTTCAAGCATACCAAAGTCAAGCAACTTTTGTGGATCAGCCAACCAATCCAGCAAGCATCATAGTGAAGATAGTACCAGTCATTCTCCATGGTCCTACCTGCAGTTTTCAGACTTATGCTATTCTTGACGATGGGTCCATGAGGGACAATGATTATTTCGTCTACAGCAAATCAGCTTGAGTTATCGAGGACACCTACCAGCATTCTTCTGTCTACAATCCGGCGTGGAACTTTTGACTGCCATGGCCATTCTATGAGTTTTGACATTTCCCGCGTAATCAGCCAAATGAGAGATTCACAATGCGAGATGTGTATACTTCTGACCATATTGCCCTGTCTGAATACTCCTATGATGTTGATTCCCTTCAAAGAGTACCCTCATCTCAAGGTTCAGCCCTTCCCGACATACACAATGTATGTCCAACCATTCTAATTGGCTCTGATAATGCCAACCTCATTCTTCCAGTTGAGCCGGTCAAGTTTGGCCCTCCAGGCTACACCGGTCGCAGTGCCTACCAAGTTTGGATGGGCAGTACAGGGACCCACTCAGTTGCCAGTCAGTAACGCCCATACTACTTGTTTTCTCACAAGCCTGCCCAGGGACAGTGAGAAATTGATGCATCATGTTGAGAACCTGTGGAAAATGGATACATTACCCTATTCAAGCAAGCAGGTCATTAGGTCAAAGGGAGGACAAACAGGCCTTGTCTATCCTGGATAGTGAAACAGTCAAAATGACAGTTGATGATGAGATCCACTATGCCACTCCACTACTTCGACGGAACAACGCTACTACCCTTCATGAAGGCAAAGAAGCTGTGATGTCAAGCCCTGAAAACGAACAGAAAAACACCATCTGAACAAACCAGAATTGTCCACAATTCACAACAATGAGATCAGAAACTTGACAATTCCAACTACGTCAGAGCGATCAGAGGGACGAAGCAAATAAGTCTGAGGAATCATGGTTCATTCCACACCATATTGTGGAGCATAATGGGAAATCTCGTCTCGTTTTCAATTGTTCTTATGAGTACAAGGGAGAAAGTCTTAACAAGCAACTGATACCAGGCCCCACTCTTGGATCTTCTCTACTAGGTGTGTTGTTGAGATTCCGAAGAAACAAGATTGCTATCTCAGGTGACATAAAAGCTATGTTTCACCAAGTTCGACTCCTGCCTAAAGACCAGCTATTACTGAGATTCATTTGGCGACACATGAATACTGACATTGAACCTACCATATACCAGTGGCAAGTTTTGCCATTCGAATACCACTTGCAGCAACATACGCACTGCTGAAGCACGCCATCACCGCACAAGAACAATTCCCAGAAGTCACC